GTAGTACTGCTATAAACCGTCTGCAAGAAAAAATATAAAAGTCTCAAAACATAGTAGTACTCAAAAGTTTTGGTAAGTTTTTATTATTTAAAAGTACTACGAAGCCTAAATATCATTATATATCCTATAAGTACTAAAGTTTCGATTGAGGCCGAAATATGAGTCACCAAATCCTACAATTTTTTTCAACAGCTCCTACGACGATATAGTACGTGTGTGCTTATCGGCGCCTTATACTAATGCTAACTAACGCGCACGCAGGCAGCGCCCTTCGCGTGAGGTGGCGAACCGCAGCTGAAAATGAGAGCAAAATAAAATTTGAGCGGTGCATTCAAGTACGATGTGTAGACCACATATTGCGATTTTAGCCAATTGAGGCCGCCTTCGCTGCGCTCGGCAGCCAGTAGAACGCGCGTATTTGCGTTACATTTTAGAACCCTACCCTCGGACGGACTGACAGACGCACACCAGACTCCACTAGGGGGGTAAGACTAGCCGTTCGCCGCCGCTACGCGGCGGAGTGGCATGGTTTGTTGGAGATGAGGTGGCCGCAACCTTAGTGCATCTTGGTGTCGCGTGTTTTGAGAGCGTGGTTCACCCCGTAGATCTTGGCATCGTGTATTTAACCACTTGCCTTCCGTAGTCTCATTCGGCCCCGTATAATATCGTGGTTTGGAACGTTTCCGTTACCCCGTACTACAGGTTGGGTGTTGTTTTCTTCAATGGTCCATGCTCTTTCGTGCTCTTCCCGGCTTCGAGGTTCCTGCTCACCCATGGCCCACGCTGCTCAGCGGTTCTGTCCTCTCTCTTGTGGGTTCATGCGCTTTAGTACGGCCTTTTCGTAAATGCTAACTTTTCTCTGTTCTCAAACGTTTATGTGGGTTGCACTGGCTTCGTGGTAGATACTATTTCGTGGCCGTTGGCCTTCCATCGCCGGTGCTCTAGCCGAAGTGTGCTATTCCGTGGTTTGGTGACTTCATGCAGTCGTGTTGTTCCGTCGCCCGTGTATCGTGCTCCCCAGGTGAGGTTCCATCGACTGCGGTATCACGCTATCGTGCAATCACGGTGTGGTAATGCTGTCTATGGTATTGTGGTCACGTAGTGCATCTGCGTTGCCCGTGTTATCGTGTTCTACAATGGCATCGTGCTCCACGGTGTGCAGTCGTGGTCACCCCAAGCGCCCACCTCCCCGTTTATTTCGTGGCTGGCCCGCCGTTCGTGCAATCGTATTATCATGTACTGCTGTCCTCCGTGGCTCGGTAAGCTCAGGTTCTACACTGGTATGGTGCTCTGTGACTCGGTGATTTCGCGTGGCAGCGTGTTCTCCGATGGTTTAGTGGCTAACCCACCGTCCATGCTGTCGTGTTATCTCTGGTGTCGGGGCTGGGCTGTCGTCTGTGTTATCGTTAGCTACCGTAGTGTCACGCTCCGTGGATCGGTGAGCTCATGTTCTACCTAGGCATCGTGCTCCAAAAATTGATGATTTTTGATTATCCGTATCTGGCCTCCTGCGGGCTCAATTTTGGTCGGTTGACTGTGCTCCATGTTTACCCGTGGTGTTGTTGGAGTATTGTTTCTGTGCACTCTCACCGATACGTGTTCTACCGTGGCTTCGAACGTCCGTGCTCTTCCGTAGCCCGTGCTTTTCAGCATGCTGGGGTGTCTATGTATTTAGTTCCCTTCCGTGGCCCGTACGTTCCTGTCATGTTCTATCCATCTGTTCTTTTCATGGCTGCGTGCTCTTTCATCTTTCACGCTACTTATAAAACTTCGTGGTTTGCATCGGCTAAGTCTTCTATCATCGTCCATGGCCTTCCGTGCTTCGTGTTGCTCTTCTATCCCATCGTGTACATAGTGTAGGTCGGTATTCCTTCGTGTTTCGTGTCCTTACTTAGACATGTGCATCCGCGCCAACTTAATCACAAACGCTGTTCCCATTTTGTTTGATGTACACAACGTATATTGTTGGAAAGTTCACATAATATCTGAAGGTCGCACACTACGCGCGCAAATACAAAGGAAGACAATAGTTTATTACGGAGGTGCAGGGGTGTAAGCCACAATAGTCATATTTTAAAGTTTTCACATTATTAATAATTGTAATACAATTGTTATTTATTATTAAACGCTGATATAGTTATTATGTGTACTACTACAAATGACTGCAAGCAAAAATATGAAATGCCTTGGTAATAGTACTAAGAAAAATAATATTGTAAGTTAAATTAGTACAGCAGTACTACGAAGCCTAAAACATCATTCTAAATTCAATAAGTACTAAAGTTTCGATTGAGGCCGAAATATAAGTCACCAGGGCCTATAACTTTTTTCTTTAGCTCCTACGACGATATAGTACGTGTGTGCTCATCGGCGCCTTTTTATTGTGCTAATTAACGCGTACACAGGCAGCGCCCTTTGCGTGAGGTGGCGAACCGCAGCTGAAAATGAGAGCAAAATGAAATTTAAACGGTGCAGTTAAGTACGATGTGTAGTCCACATACAGTAAGTACAGCACATAATATCTGTTTTAGCCAATGGGGGCCGCCTTCGCTGCGCTCGGCAGCTTTTTAGCGAATCGAGGCCGCCTTCGCTGCGCTCGGCAGCCAGTAGGATGCCCGCATTTGCGTTACATTAATTAACCCTAGCCCGTGACAGACAGACGGACAGACAGCACACTCCACTAGAGAGGTAAGACTAGCCGTTCGCCGCCGCTACGCGGCGGAGTGGCATGGTTTGTTGGAGATGCGGTGGCCGCAAATTTAAGTGCTTCTTAATGTCACGTACTTCGTTAGCGTCGTTCACCCCAGTAGATCTTGGCTTCGTGTACTTAACTATTTGCCTCTTTCGTGGCCGTTGGCCTCCCATCGCTGGTACTCTGGCCGAAGAGTGCTATTCCGTGGTTTGGCGCATTCACGCAGTCGTATTATTTCATCACCCGTGTATCGTGCTCTCCTGGTGAGGTTCCATCGACCGCGGTATCACGCTATCGTGCAATCGCGGTGTGGTAATGCTGTCTATAGTATTGTGCACGTGTAGTGCATCTGCGTTGTCCGTGTTATCGTGCTCTACGATGCCATCGTGCTCCACGGTGTGTAATCGTGGCCATACCAAGCCCACCCCCTGTGCAGTTGGTGGGCGGTCCGCAGTCCGTGCAATCGTGTTATCATGTACTGCTGTCCTCCGTGGCTCGCTAAGCTCAGGTTCTACACTGGTATGGTGCTCCGTGACTCGGTGATTTCGCGTGGCAGCGTGTTCTCCGATGGTTTAGTGGATAACCCACCGTCCATGCTGTCGTGTTATCTCTAGTGTCGGGGCTGTCGTCTGTCTTATCGTTAGCTACCGTAGTGTCGCGCTCCGTGGATCGGTGAGCTCATGTTCTACCTAGGCATCGTGCTCCAAAATTTGATGATTTCTGATTTCCCGTATCTGGCCTCCTGCGGGCTCAGATTTGGTCGGTTGACTGTGCTCCATGTTTACCCGTGGTGTTGTTGGAGTATTGTTTCTGTGCACTCTCACCGATACGTGTTCTACCGTGGCTTCGAACGTCCGTGCTCTTCCGTAGCCCGTGCTTTTCAGCATGCTGGGGTGTCTATGTATTTAGCTCCCTTCCGTGGACCGTACGATCCTGTCATGTCTCTCAATCTGTTCTTTTCATGGCTGCGTGCTCTTCATCTTTCACGCTACTTATAAAAACTTCCGTGGATTGGCATCGGCTAAAG